AGGGCCTTTCCGTCCCCATCCCACGCACTCTTCCTAACCCCCACGATGAGCCTTGGTATTAAATGTGCTCTGCAGAGCCCTGGGAGGTGGCTGCAGGCTCCTGGGTGAATACTAATAGCGATGCCGTCCGGTCGCCCCAGACTTTCCCACACATCTGCAGCCACTTAATGTGGGAATTCTTAACCCTCTGCTGACGCAGTGCCTGTAATGGGGTGAAGGAGCGAAGTGCGGCCAGGACACTCCCCACCAGGCCCCGGCCACCTTCGGGACCTTGTGTCTCCTGTCACAGGCTGAGTGGGCGAGCTGTGCTCAACACTCATCGGCTGCACGGCGAGCACCCAGCTCTGTGCCAGCGCAGGGGGAATTGCATCACCAAACCAGTGAGAGCAGGGGCCCCACACGTGCTGGAAAGCAATGAGGGATGCCAGCATGTGTGCCTGTCCCCGGTGCCCTCTTGAGGATAGTCCCAAGATGCACGACATTTGCATTTTGCTAGTAAAGCTGATGCAGATCCCAAAAAGCGACACCGAGCCCTGGGGATGGGAGAGGGGGCTGTATGGCGGTGCTGGCAGCACATCGATTTGGGCTATCTCTGGGGACCAGCTCTACAGAGCCCTCTTCAGCATGGGGACACAGGTACCAGCAGAAACGTGGTTCTGGCGTCTGGGAAAAGCCAAAGGACACGTGGGAGTCCGATGGAGCTGGGGATTCTCCTCTGTGAGAGGGTTGCACTGATGTCTCCATTGCCAGAGAGGAGGGCATGCTCTCAGGGCATTCAGTGGGGCTGCTGTGCTTGCCCCATCCCCTTCTTGCTCTCTTGGATGCTGCTCCAAAGGTGTATGGCAGGAATGATGCATAAGAGACATGCTCTGCTCTCCCTTTCCTCCTACTGTAGGATGGTGGCAGGAGAAGCTGAGGAAAGGGAGGAAGGCGCTAGCTGGGCTGGAGTGTGTGTGGGGCCACACAGCTCTGGGATGTGCTGGTCTGAGGCCACAGGTTTGCCTTTGGGAGCAACAGGGGCTGAGGGGGAATGGGGAGGCCATGGGCCCATGGGGCTGCTGGGGAGGTGGTGGAGCAGGGGGCTCTGAGGAGGAAGGGGAACGAGGGGAGGCACCCACTCGACCC